TTTTGAATAAATTAATTTATAATTACATAAAAACTAAGGGAACAACTTGTGATTTATAAATACTTTAAATTCGTATAACAAATTTTTATTAGTTTTAAAACATTTAAATAATTTTTGATTTAAAAAAGAAATAAACAAATATATGTACAGGATGGCCCCGAAGTCAGTTAACCGTGTTGTGTTTTAATCCATTTTATATTGTTTCTTACGGGAAAATTTGTTTCGATTTTAGAACAAATCGGTTTTCGAACAACTCATAGGAACGAATTATGTTCGAAAACCGAGGTTTAACTGTATTTTAAATAGGACAATTTTTGATTATTTCAATTAGAACATCGCTATTCTACTAACATTTCTCATTCCGTCGTAAAAATGTTTACGCGTCTTCTCCTCCTTGGTGTGGACATTAAATTTGAATGACTCCAAAGAGACAATTAGGAAGTCTGATAATTTTCAATTATATTACAATATAAAATTTAAATAATAAAAATTTTAAAAAGTAATTTTGTCGAATTATGACAAATTTCTCTATTTAAGTTCTACCCCACGCTCAATTTCCCCACCCCTCAATCTTTAACCACCAAAATTTAATAGCATTAATGTCTCTTATATACAAGTTACCCTGCCAAATTTTGCTTATTTAATCTTTACCCCATTCCGAGATATTAAACTAAAAATGAAAGCAAACACGCACGCTCATACGTATCTACAGAAACATCCCCTTTTATGACGTTTTTGAGTGAGCGATCTCAAAACGTCGAGATTTACAAAAAAGGAGGGACGGATTTGACACTAATACAGTATTTTCCCGTATTATATACATAAGAGCCGAGAAAATAAAAGTTTTGTATAGCGAACCGTACTGTTTATGCCGTTGCTCGGTACTGTACGTTATACAAGTATATGTAATTAATAAGACAACGAAACATTCGATACCCCGTGGTGTATATTACGCGGCTCAATTAAGGAGGTTGATACGCCTTACTTAATTTTGAGGCCAACCGCAGCGTTACGGAGCGTTACAGGGGGTGGGATGTAGTCGAAAAGATAAAGATAGCGTTACGTAATTGCGGACGATCCCCGATAATTGACGCTCGAAACGCGACCGGACGGCTTCTATAATATATAAATATGTATAAACTAATTATTCAGTATATAAAATTAAGGAATATATATAACATAGATTTCAACTTAGTTCATTTTTAATCAAAATACTAAAATATAAAATAAACGTATATTAAAAAGAAATAAAATACATTAACGTACAAAGAAAAAGAATTAATTTGTCTAATTATTAACGGAATTAATTTGTATGAGATAATGAAAATGCAAATATTTGTGAAAAGGAGGAGTTTAAATCGATGTTCTTTTTTTTTGCTTCATTGAACAATAGAATCAGCAATTAAGTGGATTTATTCATATTTTCAAAACACATTGAAGTAGAAAATAATTCAGTTTTATAAATTCATTTCACTCTTAATTAATAATTAATTTTAGTAAATTGTCCTTTTTTAAAACGTTCGTAATACAATAATCATCAGAATGACCTCTGGTTTAGTTTACCTTTCGACGATAATTTTAATAATTCCTTTGGCATTTTTTAAATATTTTATTACCTCCGCTTACATTTTTTATATATGTTTTTTCCACCGTTGAAGATTATTTATTATTTAAACGATAATGCAGTTTTTGTTTTTTGTTATTTTTCCTTTATCACAAGACTAGATTTTCACTCGTTAAAAATGTCTAATTCGATAATTTTAATCGCATCCCGAATAGATTTTTATCGAAAATAAAGTTTCGAACACGCGTATTAAATCATTTAATTGACTTTTATATAATCTTAGACTATTATTCTCTTTAAATTGTAGTTTAATAATAGGTTAAATGATTTTTAAATAATTAACTTTTGCTTTAAAGCAACTTATTTAGCTGTTAAAATACTTGTATATTAAATATTTTTCTTAACGTTCGAGTTGGGACTGAAGGGGTAAATTAATTAATCCGTTTCTGACCCCCAAAACAAAGCCTCCCCTTTTTTATGTAAGGTAATATTATATTAATAAATTTTTGTTATTTAATTTAACTTAAGCGTATTTAAACGCGAATTCTATGACGCCATTTATATAACACGAATATCAATCAACGCGGTTTTTTATTAATTAATTTAATTTAGATTCAATTGCGGCGCGTACCGCAAAACGAAAGCAGTATCTTTTCCGCGTGCGCATTGAAGTCTCATTTAAATAGTTACGTCATCGATGATTCGTGACCCCACGTCTAATAACGCGTGGCGATATCGGCGCCACTAACTTCTGAATCGGTAGCCTGTCGTTGATTGGCCGGGTCGTCGACTTTTTTTTAACACGGGAATTATACGGAGTTGACCATCCGTAATTGTCAAATCTCTGGCCGGCTCTCGACGGATGCAATTACGATTGAGTTCGAAATTATGTTCGTGACCCGAACTGTTCGAAAAGCGAGTCGTTCGAAAACAGGTTTGACTGTAATTTTTAGCAAAATAATTGTGCAGAAGTATTTTGGTCAATGATTACGCAGCGAGTTCTTAATTATTTAAATCGTTCACTTTAGGAAAAGCGCTGTATGCTCTATTGGAGGCACTCTAGTAGAATTTTAATGTGAAAGAATAATGGCAACAATTTAGCCTTTGCGGATACAGATTACAGATGGATACGGCTGAAAGATATACCGATATACAAAGGTAATGCGTACGGTCGACCCCCTTATAACACGGTAAATACGTTCCGTTCTTTATAAAATTGATGTTCTAAGAGTCCTTGAATACACGAGCCAATCACAGCCCGGCACGTGTGCAGTTTACGGACTACGGCTGTTTGAACGGTTTTCTTCCATAAAATTAATCGATTCTAGACTAATTCGACTCAACATTTCCAAAATACGTANACTCTACAGCAAAAGTTTTGAAAGTACTGTAATTACAATACATTCTGTTAGCTAGCGACAAAGGAATAAATTACGAACAAAGAAAACTGATTAATATTTATATTTTACATTTTCTCTGTTATCGTTTATACGATAGTTTGAAATTACAGTCGATTTCCGTATTCGTAAATTTAACCATAAAGTAAATACGCGGAGTAATTACGTAGAAACGGCGTGACAGCCGTCCGCCACGAATCGAGGTTAAAATCCAAGATGGCCGTTTAGTGAGGTTACCGCTCGGACATTGCCCTTTACTTATAAACTACTTGCCGAATACAGTACTTTATTTATTTCTGCAGTTTCAGACGTCGGTTTGTTCATTGTACGTCTTTATTACACGTGTATTTCGCATTTATAATACGAGTTTAAATTTGCTTAATTTAAGAAATCTGTCTATCTACTCGTCAACTTGTTTGATTGATAGTGCGAATAAGCTAGACCTTGCCTTTCATTGCTTTATAATTCCACTTATTTAATTAACAGGGTATTTGGAAAAAAAGCCGATCGTTAAATTTTTGAGAAATTTGACCCGGAGTTCGAACGATGCTTCTACGTTCGAACTGCACGCGTTCACTGCGTAAATTTCATCTTTTCAGCAGCCGAGTCGTCTCGCTCTCGCTATGAAAGCATCTCTTGCTCGTGCGTTTTCGGTGCTTTTTTTCGTTCTATATTTGTAACCTCTACCTATTCACCATAGCATCCAAGCAGAGTGTGGAAACAACGAAGCCTAAGAGGGATATTGTAGTATCGACAATTGAGGTGAAAAAGGAACTTATCGCGAAGCGTAAAAGTGATCTGGCTGCTATGTTTAAGATGTCAAAATCGACGGATCAATAAATGCAATTTTCATTTTATCATACATTATTTACGTACAGTACGGTCGCGCTAATCCGAACTAATTGAGACTGGTGGTAGTTGGGATTAATGAAAAGTGATTACGGTGATATGATGGTAAGAATTTGATGCTTATGTTTTGAGGTTTTTTTTACTGTTGTAAGATACTTTACAGTAGCAAATAGAGGTTAGAATTGTTAAGTAAAACAGGGTTACAGAATGAATGAGCGAAAATGCTGACAACACGACATACGGTATGTTTACGAGTGAGCTGCAAATGTACAGTTGACAAACCTGTTATTTTAGTTAGGGGAATAGTAGATGTTCGGATTAGCCCAGATGTACTGTATTTTATTTATTGTTTTCGTGTTTTAATTTATTATTTAAGGCATTTAATTGTGTTATTTTTACCTTGAATTATGTGTATTTACTATTTAAGTTTATCGAAATGGATATTATTTAGATTCTTGGAATAGATTATATCACTGTCATTATTTCTAATGGGAGAAATTGATTCGGACTTCGAACGGCCTCCTGGAACGAATTTAATTCGTTCGGACTAAGAGTCATCATTATATAACATATTATCGGCAGTCTAGAGTTTCTTAATACAATGTCGCCAGACTCTTCTGTAGTAAAACAGTAGGCCTAATTTTCTGCTGGCCTATTTTTAAGATTAACCTCGCCTTGGAAGGAAATATGAATAAATAAACGTATTGTAGATTTGTATAGAAATGATTGATTTTAATATCAGACAGCAGATCAAGTGTAACATCCGCATGCCGTATCTAAAATTTGGTGAAAAAAACGTAACAGGGAGGAGTAGGCAATGAATAAGGACTTAAAATCGTTGACTTTGTATTTGAATGACTCCTTGTTCTCCTGTTCGAGTGTCGAAAAAGTCCTTTTAGTGTCCTCGCTAGCTTTTTATTAGTTTTATTTAGTTCATTGGTTACTCTCTTCAAATGCGGTTAGTGATAATGTTATTTTATATTTATAAAGCAGTTTTTAAAATTTTTTAACGTAAATTTATTAAAATTCTCAGCTTTTTTATATCTCAAAACTGCCAATTTTATTAACGTTTTGGTACTTTAACGTTTGTCTTTAATATTGATTCTCCGTATTCAAATAACTCTGCACTTATTTGTTAGATAATTCATAACGTAATAATAATAATAATAATAATATTGAGTAAGGCCAACCACTGTAAATACGATAGGAGTTGTTATAATGCTCTTTGTTTTATTGCAACTCTGATATTCGCGTCCAGCATCTTTTCGGCATTGCAATAAAACATGAAAAGGAGATACGGGTTAACGATTACGATGTAACTCGTTCTCTTTTAACGTGACAGAAGCTTGAATAATATATAATATATTGCTTTTCCTTATGACTTCACTTTGACAGTCGAAAAGAATTCGCTGGATTTATAAATTTATCGTCCACTTAAAATTAAAATAAACATTGAAGAGTAAGTGTATCAAATTAATAATTACTTTCTTTTGAACACCAGAGAATTTTCCACCTTTAAATAAAGAGTAATTTTCATACCGCCACTGCTGGAATTTGTTATATTGCCCGCCTGTCTTTGCCTCCGATCTCAGCATCGAGAACTTCGGTAAGTTCTACACTCTACAGCAAAAGTTTTGAAAGTACTGTAATTACAATACATTCTGTTAGCTAGCGACAAAGGAATAAATTACGAACAAAGAAAACTGATTAATATTTATATTTTACATTTTCTCTGTTATCGTTTATACGATAGTTTGAAATTACAGTCGATTTCCGTATTCGTAAATTTAACCATAAAGTAAATACGCGGAGTAATTACGTAGAAACGGCGTGACAGCCGTCCGCCACGAATCGAGGTTAAAATCCAAGATGGCCGTTTAGTGAGGTTACCGCTCGGACATTGCCCTTTACTTATAAACTACTTGCCGAATACAGTACTTTATTTATTTCTGCAGTTTCAGACGTCGGTTTGTTCATTGTACGTCTTTATTACACGTGTATTTCGCATTTATAATACGAGTTTAAATTTGCTTAATTTAAGAAATCTGTCTATCTACTCGTCAACTTGTTTGATTGATAGTGCGAATAAGCTAGACCTTGCCTTTCATTGCTTTATAATTCCACTTATTTAATTAACAGGTTAGTGTTAATCTTCTTTCCACAATACATTTTGTTAATCTAATTTGGCACTATAATGTTTTTTTTTTTTTTTAATTTATTTTTTGTGGTTCGTTTCTCACACGACCATCGTCACTTTGTAACTTTTGCAACATTAGTCAACTGAATCTTTCGTTTTTATACTTGTTGTTTAATGTATCGAAGGCTGAACTTCCTAATCTTAAATTTAATATTTATTTAGAAAACATTTACGCAGTTATAAATAAATGTGGCTCTGGGTCTATATTACTGAATGATTTTTATAGCTTTAGCGACCGTTACCGTCCGCCGTTAAAAAACAGACCCGACGAAAGCTAAAATACGAGACCAAAAATAAAGAATAAAGCGCAAAACAAAAATAAAAGTTGAAAACAAAAAAGTAATTTAAGGAAATGGCGTTTATGAACCGAAATAAGGCGGCTTCCCCGACACTGCATCCGAGTGTCCTAAGAGAAAGAACAAGAAACAGCGAACAAAAGGAAAAAATGAGACGTCATTTTTTATTGTCAACAAGAAAACTATTGATAATATTATTAATTAATTAAAATAATTTCTGATATATATACGAAAAGAACGTAAAAGATTGGTAAATATTTTGATTTAATTGTATATGTAATATTATTTTATAAATTTTACGATATAAAATAATCAAAAATATTAGTAAAAAATATATTTCGTAAATAAATTTGAAATAGCTGGCAACACTGGACTTTGAAATTTGATTTCCTGCGTGCGTGATCAAATGTAATGTGAAGTTGGAATTTAAAATTAGAAATTAAGAAATGGTTTGTGACGTTCGACACGATGTCGTGTTGCATTTCGCGTGCAATTTGCTTCGACATTTAGAGAAAAGAATGTAAGGTTTGCGTCATTTACTGCATCAAACATACTTTTTAATTAAATATTTAAGTCGTGTAAGCGGTCCAACAATGGCACTTATTTAAAGTTTAATAACATCAATATATTGCTTTAGAATAAATTTTCTTAACGTGAGTATAACTGTTTAATTAATGTAATAGAAGAGGCGTATAAAGGCTTCTACATCGTTCCGTGTATCCGTACGACATTTGGCAAGAATATTCTTCGACGTCCTCGACCGCCACCGCCTCTCCGGCCATTCCCTTATAACTTAACTGGCAATTTTGTTTTTGTGGTTTTGTTGTTGTAAATATTTGGCTTGATAAACTTACGTTTTAGTCGGTGGCCCTTTATCCTACGGGCAAAAAAAGGCCCCGAACCCGTCTTTCATAAACTCCTTACGATAGTCGGAATATAGAGATTTAAATTCGGCACCGTGTCCGGGGACCCTGGATTGCCTACGGAATTTAAACCCTTTGGAGGTCGCCTTAAAGTAAACGGACGCGGCGTGTTCTCTCCGGAGAAAACGTCCCGAGTCTACCCGGCCCGTGGAATTCTCTAATTCCGGTTTGCCCGGGTTACCGCCCGCCGGCGATTAGAGTCGCCGAGACTGGCGTTTTTTTGCCGCCTCTTCCGACCCGGTCCCGTCGATTCCGCACTACCTCGAGAGCTCGAGCCGTGCCGGGCGTGCCCGGCCGGTTCGTTTATGTTTTTGAAATGTAACTCCTTTAGTCTTAAAATTAAAAAAAATTAGATCAGATTTGATTTTTATTGCTTTATTTAAAATAATTACGCATAAATGGTATAAGTGTCGCGATAAAATTATTCTATATACGAATAGACGGATTGTGCCACCGACAAATCTTGTGTTGTGATTCGCTTACTCCCGTTATAAATCCATAATAGGTTACTTGGTTAAAGTCCAGATACGTATACCGTCGTGGCGGTTCATCTCTGATTCCAGCAAACAAAAGAAAGGAAACAGTGGGGACGCACGTTCTAACCTAACCTCCTAACCTAACCTATTCTAATAAATTACCATAATTATTACCAATCAAATTATTAGAATAGGTTAGGTTAGGTTAGAACGTGCGTCCCCACTGTTTGCTGGATTCAGAGATGAGCCGCCACGACAGTATACTTATCTGGACTTTAACCGGTTACTTTTTAATTGCACGCTACGTTAATGAAGCTGTTTTTTCGGTTTAACTGTGTTATATTAAGTTTGTCTTAATTTGATTTTAATTATTGTATTTCGATATTAATATGGAGTCAATAAAGAGTTTACGGTGTGGTATAGTATGGGGAATAGTATTAATTAGGCCGGTTTTTAATTGTAACTTCGAGCAAACGGAAACTACGTTTATCTGTCATTTACCAATCCCTGTGCGTGCCAATTAACTGAGAGTGTACTGTATTTAAAGAATTTTAATATATCCTATATTTAAAGTAGGAGTTATAAGTTCTTGAAATAGTATATACTTTTCACAAGTTGATAATTAAAATTTTATAATATATTAATTTAAATGTGAATATAATTAATTTATTTCAGAAAAAAGTAAAGTTATGAAAATAGATATAATGCAGCTGTAACTATGAAAGAAGTGCAAAATTTATATCAAGGGACTTCAAAAGATACTTTTTGCCCTTCTGAAGGCACTCCTGTTGATTGTAAAGTGATAAAGACTGCTGGACCATATTTATTAGGTAAAAATAAAAGATTAATTAATTTAAATTCGGTTACTATCATTTTAAAGATAATTTTCTGTATTATATTTAGAAATGAGCAAAAATTATTGTGACACTGTCACAATGCCGGGCTGCAATTTTTAATGATATCTTAGTATAGTATATTTAATTTAAAATATATGCTTTCCACCTGAAATTAGTAGTGGCTTGCCCCTGTACGTCATATTTTAGAGTCGTGCCTGTCATCTATCTAACGTCTTTTGGGGGAAATTTTTGAATTGAAATAACACGACTTCCGGTTTGCATTGGAAGTTTGTATATAGTTAATTGGGGCCTCCTGCCCCTAAATTTTCCATATCTGGTCTCGTCTTCCGTTTATCTAACTCCGTTCTCGAGATTAAGGAAAGACGGACGGACGGATGACGGTGGGAATTTATAGGTCTAAAATTTTTTCAAATTGCAGCCCAATAAAGAACAATTGCTTTTTGTAAAATTTTACATTTAAGATGTGATAAATTCAGTTTGTGAAAAGCTTTCACTTGAAACAGTTTTTGCTTGAGAGTTTTCTTTTCTTATGAAAGTATTTAAATATTAAAAATTATCATTTAAAATTTAATAGGTGCAAGACTTGGTAGCTCTCCAGTCAGAAGTATTGTTCAGTGTTTAGCTAGAAAAGAAGGAACTGATGAATTTTTTACTCTCAAAGTAATGTTATTCATTTTCATTTCATTTAATTTTATTACATTATTATAAATATTTTAATTAATATGAAAGTGTTTTTTAATTGAACAATATTTAATTCAAAGTTTATTCAAGGACTATATCGATGTATTTTATTAAATATCTCCACATTTAGAATCCAAACTAATTAGAAAATACACAAGTAGCTATTAAGAATATCATTTTTTTGATTTTATTTGAACAAAAGCTGTAAAAAATTAAATTTATAATTTGTTTTTTATTCAGTTTAAATGTGATTATATACCTTATCTGTGCATTCTCTATTTGGATTCTGAAGATGAGATCACTTCTGATACTCAAAGAATACATAAATTTATTCAATCAAGATGTCTTGTCTTAATGATTTCTACTCTATCTGATATTCAAAAAAATCTAAACCCCCTTTTTTTAATATTTAAACTAATGTTAGGATTAAATAATTTTATGAAATTTAGAATTTTTATAAATTCCTAAATTATTGTGAGTGTTATTATTATTAATCTATATATATGAAATTACATGTTCTGACAGACTGACTGATTCATCATTGCCCAGAGCAAACCGCTGAACCTAAAGAGGTGAAATTTGGTATACAGTTAGGGTACACCATGAGAATACACACTAAGAAGGGATTTTTCGAAATTCCCCCACGGGGGAGAGGGAGAGCATTAAGGCTTAACCTGAAGAACAGCTTTTACTGTGCTATTTTATATGGGATTTTTGTATTTGATAGTAATAACTTAATTTTCAAACATACAATATTTACCAAATTATCCAAATCATTTTCCCGAGCAATGCCGGGCTCATCTGCTAGTTAAAAATATAAACATCTTAATGACTTTTTCTGAATTTGGTGATTTTGTCGATATACTAATATTCCATTATTTGGTAGGTAAGCTGGCGAGGCAAGATCATGACTTTTATTTGTTGAACGAAAAGTTGAAAGCAACTGAGGAAATATTATATTTGGGGGTTCTTATTACCTCAACGTTGTCTTTTGGAAAACATGTTCAGCGGATGAAGACCAAAGCATATAGAATAATTAATAATTTAATTAGTTTATTAGTAAAAATGAAAATCAGTTCTATTCAAATGCAGTTTCGACTCTTTTCAGCGTTGGTTTTCAACTCTATTTGCTATGCTCTCCCATTATGGGGTCTGGACTGGTTATCCTACTTTGAAAAAATTCAATTGCTATTTATAAGAAAAATTTACGGATTAGATAAAGCAGTGCCGGGATATGCGATTTGCCATGATACTAACAGATTGTTATTAGAATCCTACTTGGTAATTAGGACCATGAAATTTCTTAAGAGACTGTTAACTAGTGAGAACATACAGGTTAATACAATACTAAAAGTTTTAAAGAACTTGGCAGAGAACAAAAAGAATTATCAAAACAATTGGTATAACAAACTTAGGATCAAATTGGAAAGTTATGGTTTGTCTCATTTACTATTTAACAGTACAGAAACAGACTGGAATTACGGAATTTCTTTATTGGTGGAGAATATGTATAATAATTCAATTGATCGTGAGATGAAAAATTTACAGGAGTCAAAATTTCACCCATGGTATATAGTTAATTTAAATTTCCCTCCAGCAAATAATTATATTCATTATAAAATACCATTTGGGATGAAAAGATTTTATATGCAGATCAGACTAAACAGTTTTTATATTATAGTTGAAGGGAATTATTTGGATATCAGGAATAAACAATGTAGGCTGTGTAATGACCAAATTTCTGTATATCATATAATTAGTTTGTGCAAGGGTTGTTCCAAATTTAGAGAACAGACTGGTATTTCCACCTTGTCAGCCATCAAATCTATGCAAGAATTCTACCAAAAAATATTTCAGATGGGATCAATTATGATTACCAGAATATATCAGTTCTTTATTAAATATATTAAAATGGTTGAGAGTCTTAATGAATGATTTATAAATTTACTTTTATTGTTGTTGTTACTTCTATCCAATATTATGTCACTTGATTGTTTAAATGTATGAATAGAAGATAATTTACATAATAATTATTTATTGTCGGAAGATATATTATATATTCACTAGTATTTGTAAGCCAATGTACTCCTTGTAACTGGAATTTGTTCCAAATATCGCTAATAGAATTGTTTGCACTAAAAATATTAATTCTCTATAATGAAGTTGTTTATCAATTTAAAATTCAATGAGTTAATCAAATAATTGAATTTTACATAGATCTATAAATTTATTTTATTTGTTTAATCATTATTTCTAATTACTGAAGAATAAATAATTCTTTAACTGAGAAAAAAGTGGACGAAGAGTAGTGTGTGTGTGTGTATATATATATATATAGTTCTAGATGACAACTCTTCGTATCTTAAAATGTAAATAACTAAATTGATTAGATTCACTTTTTATGAAAATATAGATTTAAAATGCAAATAGCTTTTATGAAAATAAAAACTTGAATATTTTATATGAAAATATAAGAGTATGTATTGTTTTTAAAGTATTTATTACGTGTAATCTGAAATATTTATCATTATATATTCTGTAATCAATATGTAATGATATATACTTCAGAAAATGAAATGTTTATTTGTAGATTCCTGTTTAAGGATGTTTCTAAAATGCTAAAAAATGTATCATATTTTAGTCCCTATTCATAATTTTTCTTTCAAAAATACTAACTTTATTGATGGGATAGAGAAAATGTTGGAAGTATTATACGATTAATGCATCAGAATGAAAGTATTAATTCCTATCACTGAAAAATTATTCATCTAATTTTATTGAAATTATATCAGGTTTTATTACATTTGCTTTTTAGAATGACTTACATTTTTTATATTATTTTTAAAGTTCATTTTCAAATTATTTTTATTAAATTGAAATTTTTGTAAAAATTAAATATTGTTGAATTTATTATATTTTAAATTAATATTATACTCTTTCAATGCTGTTACAGACTTAATTGGCTTAATATATTGTATAATTTCTAAAGTAGTAATAACTTTTTCTTATAGATTTTGACATTGCAAAATCCATCAGAGGAAACGCAAGATGATCGTCAGGGTAAAATGTTACTCCATACGGAATATTCTTTATTATCGTTGCTTCACGATCAAGATGGTGTTGTTCATCATCATGGATTATTCAAGGTATTTTATTATTATTAAAGTTGTTGAATTAATTAAATAGGCATTTAACTATATATGAGTTTTTAAAATTTGCTACATATAGCTGAATATGTCTATGTAAGAAGAATTAATATCGAGATATATCGAGCCAAATACCCCTAACTTTGAATAATTATAGAAAAATTCCGAGATGGTAAAATTCCATTCCTTCTTACGAATCAAGATATTTAAACAGAGGGCAGGAAATGGTTTAATAAACAAATAATGTGGAAAACTTATAGTAGTAGGTAAAAAAATTACATATATAGAGGCATTGTCTTTCAGATGTAATGCCTTCCCAAAAATGTATGAAAACAGTCAAATAATAAGATTCCACAATTAAAATAAGTTCTATTCTTAGAAAACTAAAAAGAAAAATTATAAAATTGTTATTAAGGTAGGAATGTTGGATGTGTCACACGCATTCATTGTAAAAAAAATTGTTATAATGCATAAAACATTAAAGCCATAGATTACACTGAAAATAAACAATAAGAATTAATTTTCACAAATGATTTTACTGTTAAAAATCAAAAATGGCAGAAAGTGCTATTGCTTGATATCCCAAAACTTTTATTTTTCAACTGAAAATGTACAATTAACTAATTTTGCATAGAAAAAGTGACTTATCAAATCACTTTTTTGATGCAAAATTAATCAATAATGAAATAGTGACTTGTCCAAAAGTCAATGACCCTTAAATGGGCTAGCAAAAAAGGATCGATATTATAATTCTAATTATCCACTCTTCTTACATGATTTTAAACAGAGGTGAACACAATAAAATGCAAAATCCAAAAGTAACAGATATATTTTTTTCTAAGAACATTATAATTTGATTAAAAAAAAATCATTTATTTAAATTATTTGTGTAACAGAATGAAACTACAATAGAGCATTGATTATCCGACCCAATTGGGGACTGGGGTTGGTCGGATAAATGGAAAAATACATTATTAGTATAGTATATTAGTATATCCCATGTAATTAGTATATCACTATTAACCTACTTTGCGTTGAATTTTCATCAATGTTAAAACCCTAACAAAAATTTTTTAAAATAATAATCGTCACTATTGTATTGTTAAAAATTAGAAAATTAAGCCTTGTTTAAATACTGGCTCCCTTTTAATTCGAGCCAGTATTGCCAGCTAAAACACGTAAAAATAGTATTAAAGTAGCCAAGATATAGCCAAATATTGTAGTGCCACATCACTAGCAGACATTTGAATTTGCCGACTAGAACGCATTCGGTTAACCGATGTGACGGTTGATCGAGGGTCGGATAATCGATGCTCTACTTTATTATTCTGTTTTCTTAAAAACCCAAGACCTCAATAAAAAAGTTGGCTCAATTCAGTTATGTGAAATGTAATAAAATTAATTCTTTCAATTATTTTGAACATTAAGTTATTAAAACAATTTTAAACACTATTAAAATATGTTTTAATGTTAAATTTGAAAATTGTCTTGTGTTAAGATTACAGTATGAGCAAAACAAATATAAAATAAATAGTTCACACGNAATTACTTTCTTTTGAACACCAGAGAATTTTCCACCTTTAAATAAAGAGTAATTTTCATACCGCCACTGCTGGAATTTGTTATATTGCCCGCCTGTCTTTGCCTCCGATCTCAGCATCGAGAACTTCGGTAAGTTCTATACTCTACAGCAAAAGTTTTGAAAGTACTGTAATTACAATACATTCTGTTAGCTAGCGACAAAGGAATAAATTACGAACAAAGAAAACTGATTAATATTTATATTTTACATTTTCTCTGTTATCGTTTATACGATAGTTTGAAATTACAGTCGATTTCCGTATTCGTAAATTTAACCATAAAGTAAATACGCGGAGTAATTACGTAGAAACGGCGTGACAGCCGTCCGCCACGAATCGAGGTTAAAATCCAAGATGGCCGTTTAGTGAGGTTACCGCTCGGACATTGCCCTTTACTTATAAACTACTTGCCGAATACAGTACTTTATTTATTTCTGCAGTTTCAGACGTCGGTTTGTTCATTGTACGTCTTTATTACACGTGTATTTCGCATTTATAATACGAGTTTAAATTTGCTTAATTTAAGAAATCTGTCTATCTACTCGTCAACTTGTTTGATTGATAGTGCGAATAAGCTAGACCTTGCCTTTCATTGCTTTATAATTCCACTTATTTAATTAACAGGTTAGTGTTAATCTTCTTTCCACAATACATTTTGTTAATCTAATTTGGCACTATAATGTTTTTTTTTTTTTTTTTTAATTTATTTTTTGTGGTTCGTTTCTCACACGACCATCGTCACTTTGTAACTTTTGCAACATTAGTCAACTGAATCTTTCGTTTTTATACTTGTTGTTTAATGTATCGAAGGCTGAACTTCCTAATCTTAAATTTAATATTTATTTAGAAAACATTTACGCAGTTATAAATAAATGTGGCTCTGGGTCTATATTACTGAATGATTTTTATAGCTTTAGCGACCGTTACCGTCCGCCGTTAAAAAACAGACCCGACGAAAGCTAAAATACGAGACCAAAAATAAAGAATAAAGCGCAAAACAAAAATAAAAGTTGAAAACAAAAAAGTAATTTAAGGAAATGGCGTTTATGAACCGAAATAAGGCGGCTTCCCCGACACTGCATCCGAGTGTCCTAAGAGAAAGAACAAGAAACAGCGAACAAAAGGAAAAAATGAGACGTCATTTTTTATTGTCAACAAGAAAACTATTGATAATATTATTAATTAATTAAAATAATTTCTGATATATATACGAAAAGAACGTAAAAGATTGGTAAATATTTTGATTTAATTGTATATGTAATATTATTTTATAAATTTTACGATATAAAATAATCAAAAATATTAGTAAAAAATATATTTCGTAAATAAATTTGAAATAGCTGGCAACACTGGACTTTGAAATTTGATTTCCTGCGTGCGTGATCAAATGTAATGTGAAGTTGGAATTTAAAATTAGAAATTAAGAAATGGTTTGTGACGTTCGACACGATGTCGTGTTGCATTTCGCGTGCAATTTGCTTCGACATTTAGAGAAAAGAATGTAAGGTTTGCGTCATTTACTGCATCAAACATACTTTTTAATTAAATATTTAAGTCGTGTAAGCGGTCCAACAATGGCACTTATTTAAAGTTTAATAACATCAATATATTGCTTTAGAATAAATTTTCTTAACGTGAGTATAACTGTTTAATTAATGTAATAGAAGAGGCGTATAAAGGCTTCTACATCGTTCCGTGTATCCGTACGACATTTGGCAAGAATATTCTTCGACGTCCTCGACCGCCACCGCCTCTCCGGCCATTCCCTTATAACTTAACTGGCAATTTTGTTTTTGTGGTTTTGTTGTTGTAAATATTTGGCTTGATAAACTTACGTTTTAGTCGGTGGCCCTTTATCCTACGGGCAAAAAAAGGCCCCGAACCCGTCTTTCATAAACTCCTTACGATAGTCGGAATATAGAAATTTAAATTCGGCACCGTGTCCGGGGACCCTGGATTGCCTACGGAATTTAAACCCTTTGGAGGTCGCCTTAAAGTAAACGGACGCGGCGTGTTCTCTCCGGAGAAAACGTCCCGAGTCTACCCGGCCCGTGGAATTCTCTAATTCCGGTTTGCCCGGGTTACCGCCCGCCGGCGATTAGAGTCGCCGAGACTGGCGTTTTTTTGCCGCCTCTTCCGACCCGGTCCCGTCGATTCCGCACTACCTCGAGAGCTCGAGCCGTGCCGGGCGTGCCCGGCCGGTTCGTTTATGTTTTTGAAATGTAACTCCTTTAGTCTTAAAATTAAAAAAAATTAGATTAGATTTGATTTTTATTGCTTTATTTAAAATAATTACGCATAAATGGTATAAGTGTCGCGATAAAATTATTCCATAGACGGATTGTGCCACCGACAAATCTTGTGTTGTGATTCGCTTACTCCCGTTATAAATCCATAATAGGTTACTTGGTTAAAGTCCAGATACGTATACCGTCGTGGCGGTTCATCTCTGATTCCAGCAAACAAAAGAAAGGAAACAGTGGGGACGCACGTTCTAACCTAACCTCCTAACCTAACCTATTCTAATAAATTACCATAATTATTACCAATCAAATTATTAGAATAGGTTAGGTTAGGTTAGGTTAGAACGTGCGTCCCCACTGTTTGCTGGATTCAGAGATGAGCCGCCACGACAGTATACTTATCTGGACTTTAACCGGTTACTTTTTAATTGCACGCTACGTTAATGAAGCTGTTTTTTCGGTTTAACTGTGTTATATTAAGTTTGTCTTAATTTGATTTTAATTATTGTATTTCGATATTAATATGGAGTCAATAAAGAGTTTACGGTGTGGTATAGTATGGGGAATAGTATTAATTAGGCCGGTTTTTAATTGTAACTTCGAGCAAACGGAAACTACGTTTATCTGTCATTTACCAATCCCTGTGCGTGCCAATTAACTGAGAGTGTACTGTATTTAAAGAATTTTAATATATCCTATATTTAAAGTAGGAGTTATAAGTTCTTGAAATAGTATATACTTTTCACAAGTTGATAATTAAAATTTTATAATATATTAATTTAAATGTGAATATAATTAATTTATTTCAGAAAAAAGTAAAGTTATGAAAATAGATATAATGCAGCTGTAACTATGAAAGAAGTGCAAAATTTATATCAAGGGACTTCAAAAGATACTTTTTGCCCTTCTGAAGGCACTCCTGTTGATTGTAAAGTGATAAAGACTGCTGGACCATATTTATTAGGTAAAAATAAAAGATTAATTAATTTAAATTCGGTTACTATCATTTTAAAGATAATTTTCTGTATTATATTTAGAAATGAGCAAAAATTATTGTGACACTGTCACAATGCCGGGCTGCAATTTTTAATGATATCTTAGTATAGTATATTTAATTTAAAATATATGCTTTCCACCTGAAATTAGTAGTGGCTTGCCCCTGTACGTCATATTTTAGAGTCGTGCCTGTCATCTATCTAACGTCTTTTGGGGGAAATTTTTGAATTGAAATAACACGACTTCCGGTTTGCATTGGAAGTTTGTATATAGTTAATTGGGGCCTCCTGCCCCTAAATTTTCCATATCTGGTCTCGTCTTCCGTTTATCTAACTCCGTTCTCGAGATTAAGGAAAGACGGACGGACGGATGACGGTGGGAATTTATAGGTCTAAAATTTTTTCAAATTGCAGCCCAATAAAGAACAATTGCTTTTTGTAAAATTTTACATTTAAGATGTGATAAATTCAGTTTGTGAAAAGCTTTCACTTGAAACAGTTTTTGCTTGAGAGTTTTCTTTTCTTATGAAAGTATTTAAATATTAAAAATTATCATTTAAAATTTAATAGGTGCAAGACTTGGTAGCTCTCCAGTCAGAAGTATTGTTCAGTGTTTAGCTAGAAAAGAAGGAACTGATGAATTTTTTACTCTCAAAGTAATGTTATTCATTTTCATTTCATTTAATTTTATTACATTATTATAAATATTTTAATTAATATGAAAGTGTTTTTTAATTGAACAATATTTAATTCAAAGTTTATTCAAGGACTATATCGATGTATTTTATTAAATATCTCCACATTTAGAATCCAAACTAATTAGAAAATACACAAGTAGCTATTAAGAATATCATTTTTTTGATTTTATTTGAACAAAAGCTGTAAAAAATTAAATTTATAATTTGTTTTTTATTCAGTTTAAATGTGATTATATACCTTATCTGTGCATTCTCTATTTGGATTCTGAAGATGAGATCACTTCTGATACTCAAAGAATACATAAATTTATTCAATCAAGATGTCTTGTCTTAATGATTTCTACTCTATCTGATATTCAAAAAAATCTAAACCCCCTTTTTTTAATATTTAAACTAATGTTAGGATTAAATAATTTTATGAAATTTAGAATTTTTATAAATTCCTAAATTATTGTGAGTGTTATTATTATTAATCTATATATATGAAATTACATGTTCTGACAGACTGACTGATTCATCATTGCCCAGAGCAAACCGCTGAACCTAAAGAGGTGAAATTTGGTATACAGTTAGGGTACACCATGAGAATACACACTAAGAAGGGATTTTTCGAAATTCCCCCACGGGGGAGAGGGAGAGCATTAAGGCTTAACCTGAAGAACAGCTTTTACTGTGCTATTTTATATGGGATTTTTGTATTTGATAGTAATAACTTAATTTTCAAACATACAATATTTACCAAATTATCCAAATCATTTTCCCGAGCAATGCCGGGCTCATCTGCTAGTTAAAAATATAAACATCTTAATGACTTTTTCTGAATTTGGTGATTTTGTCGATATACTAATATTCCATTATTTGGTAGGTAAGCTGGCGAGGCAAGATCATGACTTTTATTTGTTGAACGAAAAGTTGAAAGCAACTGAGGAAATATTATATTTGGGGGTTCTTATTACCTCAACGTTGTCTTTTGGAAAACATGTTCAGCGGATGAAGACCAAAGCATATAGAATAATTAATAATTTAATTAGTTTATTAGTAAAAATGAAAATCAGTTCTATTCAAATGCAGTTTCGACTCTTTTCAGCGTTGGTTTTCAACTCTATTTGCTATGCTCTCCCATTATGGGGTCTGGACTGGTTATCCTACTTTGAAAAAATTCAATTGCTATTTATAAGAAAAATTTACGGATTAGATAAAGCAGTGCCGGGATATGCGATTTGCCATGATACTAACAGATTGTTATTAGAATCCTACTTGGTAATTAGGACCATGAAATTTCTTAAGAGACTGTTAACTAGTGAGAACATACAGGTTAATACAATACTAAAAGTTTTAAAGAACTTGGCAGAGAACAAAAAGAATTATCAAAACAATTGGTATAACAAACTTAGGATCAAATTGGAAAGTTATGGTTTGTCTCATTTACTATTTAACAGTACAGAAACAGACTGGAATTACGGAATTTCTTTATTGGTGGAGAATATGTATAATAATTCAATTGATCGTGAGATGAAAAATTTACAGGAGTCAAAATTTCACCCATGGTATATAGTTAATTTAAATTTCCCTCCAGCAAATAATTATATTCATTATAAAATACCATTTGGGATGAAAAGATTTTATATGCAGATCAGACTAAACAGTTTTTATATTATAGTTGAAGGGAATTATTTGGATATCAGGAATAAACAATGTAGGCTGTGTAATGACCAAATTTCTGTATATCATATAATTAGTTTGTGCAAGGGTTGTTCCAAATTTAGAGAACAGACTGGTATTTCCACCTTGTCAGCCATCAAATCTATGCAAGAATTCTACCAAAAAATATTTCAGATGGGATCAATTATGATTACCAGAATATATCAGTTCTTTATTAAATATATTAAAATGGTTGAGAGTCTTAATGAATGATTTATAAATTTACTTTTATTGTTGTTGTTACTTCTATCCAATATTATGTCACTTGATTGTTTAAATGTATGAATAGAAGATAATTTACATAATAATTATTTATTGTCGGAAGATATATTATATATTCACTAGTATTTGTAAGCCAATGTACTCCTTGTAACTGGAATTTGTTCCAAATATCGCTAATAGAATTGTTTGCACTAAAAATATTAATTCTCTATAATGAAGTTGTTTATCAATTTAAAATTCAATGAGTTAATCAAATAATTGAATTTTACATAGATCTATAAATTTATTTTATTTGTTTAATCATTATTTCTAATTACTGAAGAATAAATAATTCTTTAACTGAGAAAAAAGTGGACGAAGAGTAGTGTGTGTGTGTGTATATATATATATATAGTTCTAGATGACAACTCTTCGTATCTTAAAATGTAAATAACTAAATTGATTAGATTCACTTTTTATGAAAATATAGATTTAAAATGCAAATAGCTTTTATGAAAATAAAAACTTGAATATTTTATATGAAAATATAAGAGTATGTATTGTTTTTAAAGTATTTATTACGTGTAATCTGAAATATTTATCATTATATATTCTGTAATCAATATGTAATGATATATACTTCAGAAAATGAAATGTTTATTTGTAGATTCCTGTTTAAGGATGTTTCTAAAATGCTAAAAAATGTATCATATTTTAGTCCCTATTCATAATTTTTCTTTCAAAAATACTAACTTTATTGATGGGATAGAGAAAATGTTGGAAGTATTATACGATTAATGCATCAGAATGAAAGTATTAATTCCTATCACTGAAAAATTATTCATCTAATTTTATTGAAATTATATCAGGTTTTATTACATTTGCTTTTTAGAATGACTTACATTTTTTATATTATTTTTAAAGTTCATTTTCAAATTATTTTTATTAAATTGAAATTTTTGTAAAAATTAAATATTGTTGAATTTATTATATTTTAAATTAATATTATACTCTTTCAATGCTGTTACAGACTTAATTGGCTTAATATATTGTATAATTTCTAAAGTAGTAATAACTTTTTCTTATAGATTTTGACATTGCAAAATCCATCAGAGGAAACGCAAGATGATCGTCAGGGTAAAATGTTACTCCATACGGAATATTCTTTATTATCGTTGCTTCACGATCAAGATGGTGTTGTTCATCATCATGGATTATTCAAGGTATTTTATTATTATTAAAGTTGTTGAATTAATTAAATAGGCATTTAACTATATATGAGTTTTTAAAATTTGCTACATATAGCTGAATATGTCTATGTAAGAAGAATTAATATCGAGATATATCGAGCCAAATACCCCTAACTTTGAATAATTATAGAAAAATTCCGAGATGGTAAAATTCCATTCCTTCTTACGAATCAAGATATTTAAACAGAGGGCAGGAAATGGTTTAATAAACAAATAATGTGGAAAACTTATAGTAGTAGGTAAAAAAATTACATATATAGAGGCATTGTCTTTCAGATGTAATGCCTTCCCAAAAATGTATGAAAACAGTCAAATAATAAGATTCCACAATTAAAATAAGTTCTATTCTTAGAAAACTAAAAAGAAAAATTATAAAATTGTTATTAAGGTAGGAATGTTGGATGTGTCACACGCATTCATTGTAAAAAAAATTGTTATAATGCATAAAACATTAAAGCCATAGATTACACTGAAAATAAACAATAAGAATTAATTTTCACAAATGATTTTACTGTTAAAAATCAAAAATGGCAGAAAGTGCTATTGCTTGATATCCCAAAACTTTTATTTTTCAACTGAAAATGTACAATTAACTAATTTTGCATAGAAAAAGTGACTTATCAAATCACTTTTTTGATGCAAAATTAATCAATAATGAAATAGTGACTTGTCCAAAAGTCAATGACCCTTAAATGGGCTAGCAAAAAAGGATCGATATTATAATTCTAATTATCCACTCTTCTTACATGATTTTAAACAGAGGTGAACACAATAAAATGCAAAATCCAAAAGTAACAGATATATTTTTTTCTAAGAACATTATAATTTGATTAAAAAAAAATCATTTATTTAAATTATTTGTGTAACAGAATGAAACTACAATAGAGCATTGATTATCCGACCCAATTGGGGACTGGGGTTGGTCGGATAAATGGAAAAATACATTATTAGTATAGTATATTAGTATATCCCATGTAATTAGTATATCACTATTAACCTACTTTGCGTTGAATTTTCATCAATGTTAAAACCCTAACAAAAATTTTTTAAAATAATAATCGTCACTATTGTATTGTTAAAAATTAGAAAATTAAGCCTTGTTTAAATACTGGCTCCCTTTTAATTCGAGCCAGTATTGCCAGCTAAAACACGTAAAAATAGTATTAAAGTAGCCAAGATATAGCCAAATATTGTAGTGCCACATCACTAGCAGACATTTGAATTTGCCGACTAGAACGCATTCGGTTAACCGATGTGACGGTTGATCGAGGGTCGGATAATCGATGCTCTACTTTATTATTCTGTTTTCTTAAAAACCCAAGACCTCAATAAAAAAGTTGGCTCAATTCAGTTATGTGAAATGTAATAAAATTAATTCTTTCAATTATTTTGAACATTAAGTTATTAAAACAATTTTAAACACTATTAAAATATGTTTTAATGTTAAATTTGAAAATTGTCTTGTGTTAAGATTACAGTATGAGCAAAACAAATATAAAATAAATAGTTCACACGTTTTTATTATAACAAATAAATTTACCAAGAATGAACAAGTTAGGAATAGAATATGAATCAAACAAAAATGTTTAAAATTTTGTTTGAATGCTGTTTAGAATTTCTCATTGTTTGTGAGATGCAGTTCACAGAATAAGGTCTATTTTTGGATGATATAGTAGTAATTATTATTTAATAATTATAGATGTGTATCTACTGTATTTACTTGTATATAAGACAATCTCGCATGTAGGACAAGGTGTAACTTTAAAGACCAAAATAAAGAATATTAGATTTAATACATTTCTAATTTTATTTTGTTTAATCACAAATAAAATATCAACTGCACGTAAATGCACACAATGTCCCACAAAAATTACTGGCATTTTAAACTTTAAAGAAAAATCTTGTAAAATCGACCACATAATTTGTTCACGTGAAGCTGGACAATCGGGTATCTTTTTTGCCAGTTCTTAACAGTCGAATCACTCTTCGTCGATTACACTTATGGGTTTCTCCAAATTCTGATTTCTGAATAATCATCTGTTTTTACATGGGAATGGATTAAAACTTATATTGGGCTTCCATCTGATTTTGGAATTTAAATTTGGAATTCAATTGAAAAGCTTTACTTTTCCTACTACTATTCATCTTTACTCCTGACAATATGCAAGATCGATTCAAACAACCCAGATAAATACCAGAGGGTGAGCATCCGGTAAAAACTACGAATACGCTGTTCATAAAAATTATTGCAAAAATTCAAAGAATCCTTCGCTCGCGTGTATAGGACGACCTAGGTTTTTGAAGCAGTGAAAAATGAATAAAAATCTCGTCTTATATGCGAGTAAATACGATATTTACTGTTTATTTTTTTAAAATAATCATTAAACATGACAAATATGTAATTTCCAATTCCAGTATAATTATGTGAAAACAAATAAACAGTAATCGCATTTTACTCTTAGACAATGCAACTTGCGTGGAGAATGTTTTAAATTCTTTTTTTTGTTCTATTTTAGCAATAGTAAATTTTTTGTGTATGTGACAAAATATTTACATTTAACTTAAAAATATGCAAGTATTGAATACTATTTAACAGACTGTTCCTCAAAGATATGTCTAAAGACCCGAAAAAGTTTGCGATTTTTATATCAATCAACTGTAATAAAGTAGTATTTTAATTTTAAATATATTAAGCATTAAGGAGCAAGATTTTCTGTATAATTTTCCTTCAATACTCTAATTGGTTTAATCTGATTTGAATAAACACTGCTATTTTATTTGATAAATCCAAAAGTAAATAATTTCTATTGATACTAAACTTGTTATATAATTTCAGTAGACAAATATTGTATACAGTTATCTATTTTTACCTAAGTTAATTTTTAAATTGTAAAAAATAAGATTGATAATGAGATTTCCTGTTGTTTTATAATTTAAAAAAGTTTTTTTAATAACATTTAATTATTGAAGCATGTTAACTTGATTTTTTTTGTTTGCATTAAAAAAGTAAAATAAGTTATTGGAAGGTAAAATTTTTAAATTTAATTTTTGACTCCATAGAAAATACATTATATTGGAGTAGAAAGACAGTCAACAACAAATTTTTCATTTTAAACTACAAACCATTTAAATATAATTAGATAATGAAGTTTTAAATAAATAAATTGTTTATATTTTGAAATAGTGTTATTTATGTTAAAATTTAAATTATTTCAGTACTGTTAAAATGATTAAATTTAATTTACAAAACTGTTTTGGTTTAAACTTGTTATGAATTTAAAGTATTATTATAATAAATTTTCAATCAATTATGTATTTTATAGGATGAAGCTTGGGAAGAGAAAGAATTATCTACAGCCGAACTTGTTTACACGGGAAGGAAAAAGAAGCGACTGTGTTTGGTACTAGATTGTCTCTGCGCTCACGATTTCGGTACGCGCACGGCCGATATGGTAAACATGCAGCATTACGTGATTAAAGAAAAGAAATTACCCGAAAGAGAAGCAATGTTAATATTTCACGATGTTGTTAGAATTGTCTGTGCCCTTCATAAAGTAAGTAAATATATATCAATACAGGAATTAAGTTATAAAATTTTAGAAATACATTGCACTCTTGCTAATCTAATTAATTTTGTTCACTTTTCCAGTAAACATTGCAACCAAAAACAATCTCAGATTACTTTTGAAAAGTAAATAATGAATTTTAAAAATTGTTTATACAGTNCATTTAAAATTTAATAGGTGCAAGACTTGGTAGCTCTCCAGTCAGAAGTATTGTTCAGTGTTTAGCTAGAAAAGAAGGAACTGATGAATTTTTTACTCTCAAAGTAATGTTATTCATTTTCATTTCATTTAATTTTATTACATTATTATAAATATTTTAATTAATATGAAAGTGTTTTTTAATTGAACAATATTTAATTCAAAGTTTATTCAAGGACTATATCGATGTATTTTATTAAATATCTCCACATTTAGAATCCAAACTAATTAGAAAATACACAAGTAGCTATTAAGAATATCATTTTTTTGATTTTATTTGAACAAAAGCTGTAAAAAATTAAATTTATAATTTGTTTTTTATTCAGTTTAAATGTGATTATATACCTTATCTGTGCATTCTCTATTTGGATTCTGAAGATGAGATCACTTCTGATACTCAAAGAATACATAAATTTATTCAATCAAGATGTCTTGTCTTAATGATTTCTACTCTATCTGATATTCAAAAAAATCTAAACCCCCTTTTTTTAATATTTAAACTAATGTTAGGATTAAATAATTTTATGAAATTTAGAATTTTTATAAATTCCTAAATTATTGTGAGTGTTATTATTATTAATCTATATATATGAAATTACATGTTCTGACAGACTGACTGATTCATCATTGCCCAGAGCAAACCGCTGAACCTAAAGAGGTGAAATTTGGTATACAGTTAGGGTACACCATGAGAATACACACTAAGAAGGGATTTTTCGAAATTCCCCCACGGGGGAGAGGGAGAGCATTAAGGCTTAACCTGAAGAACAGCTTTTACTGTGCTATTTTATATGGGATTTTTGTATTTGATAGTAATAACTTAATTTTCAAACATACAATATTTACCAAATTATCCAAATCATTTTCCCGAGCAATGCCGGGCTCATCTGCTAGTTAAAAATATAAACATCTTAATGACTTTTTCTGAATTTGGTGATTTTGTCGATATACTAATATTCCATTATTTGGTAGGTAAGCTGGCAAGGCAAGATCATGACTTTTATTTGTTGAACGAAAAGTTGAAAGCAACTGAGGAAATATTATATTTGGGGGTTCTTATTACCTCAACGTTGTCTTTTGGAAAACATGTTCAGCGGATGAAGACCAAAGCATATAGAATAATTAATAATTTAATTAGTTTATTAGTAAAAATGAAAATCAGTTCTATTCAAATGCAGTTTCGACTCTTTTCAGCGTTGGTTTTCAACTCTATTTGCTATGCTCTCCCATTATGGGGTCTGGACTGGTTATCCTACTTTGAAAAAATTCAATTGCTATTTATAAGAAAAATTTACGGATTAGATAAAGCAGTGCCGGGATATGCGATTTGCCATGATACTAACAGATTGTTATTAGAATCCTACTTGGTAATTAGGACCATGAAATTTCTTAAGAGACTGTTAACTAGTGAGAACATACAGGTTAATACAATACTAAAAGTTTTAAAGAACTTGGCAGAGAACAAAAAGAATTATCAAAACAATTGGTATAACAAACTTAGGATCAAATTGGAAAGTTATGGTTTGTCTCATTTACTATTTAACAGTACAGAAATGGACTGGAATTACAGAATTTCTTTATTGGTGGAGAATATGTATAATAATTCAATTGATCGTGAGATGAAAAATTTACAGGAGTCAAAATTTCACCCATGGTACATAGTTAATTTAAATTTCCCTCCAGCAAATAATTATATTCATTATAAAATACCATTTGGAATGAAAAGATTTTATATGCAGATCAGACTAAACAGTTTTTATATTATAGTTGAAGGGAATTATTTGGATATCAGGAATAAACAATGTAGGCTGTGTAATGACCAAATTTCTGTATATCATATAATTAGTTTGTGCAAGGGTTG